GAACATGGAGCGGTCCCCCATTGGGAACTTGTTCACCCTGCTGGCCAACAGCATCCTCCGAGGGCACTGTTACACACTAGAGAGAACGAGGTGCAGGCTAGAAGTTAGACATCACTTTTTTGCAAATAGACTAGTCCCTACATGGAAAGAACTACCAACTCGCATAGTTAAATGTCCCACAATGAAGGATTTCAAACTAGAGCTGGACAAGGAGTGGTACATCTTATTCCCAGAACTGCCCTAGGTATCAGGATTCCCTAAGATCGCTGATGGAATACATATAACAGATACTGCGCCGGTTTCTTTTCCCTTCTACCTTCCAGATATTACTCCCTCGTGGAGAGTCGGAAGAAGCATTACATTCGCAGGTGAGTCGGTCCACAGACGGAACCCGCCATTACCAGGACACCCAACAGGCGAAGTCCTCTCTTCGTCCTGTGATTTGAATTTGAGTTTGAAATTAAAACTGGACTGAACTGAACGACCTTGACCGCTTGGTTCAAATTTTCGACGTGGTAAATTCTAGTCTCGTAATTACAAACTACTGTGAGTGAAAGCTGTTGAAACCTCTGCAAATGGTGTAAAAGACCGGAAACTCGCTTAGTGAAGATATTCGGTAAGTCCTCGGGTGGTAAATTTTGAAATTAGTGATTTCATTGCGTAAGACTTTTTGCGTAGAGAAAAGAACTGCACATTGCAAGATTCCACCGTGGCTAAATCAGGTTGTTTTGGGGCTCTCGAGTGTCAGAAAATGATCTCTAACGGTATTCAGTGTGATTGCTGCGGTAACTGGTACCACCAAGGGTGTGCCCGCATAGAACGTGACGCCTACGAAGCTTAAGTGAGAAACGACGTCTTACAGTGGCTCTGCTACATATGCTTAGCACTGGCGGAGGGGCCAGGGCGACAACCCAATCTAAAGGCAGGCAGCACCGAGGGAAAATTCCAAAACTCATAGGATTCGCAGTTAAATCTGATAAAAATTGTAAAAGAGCTAAAAAAGAAAATTACCACGCGAGAGAACGGGTAATGAAGTGGCATCCCAACTATTAGG